TCATAGACACACGTTCATTTAGTTGACCAGCCGCAGTCATGAAGAATGCACTTTTAGCGACAAGAAAATGCAATGCAAACAACCCAAAATGCATTCATATGAAATGGGAACCATACATATGTACATATATAGATAGAAAAGTAGATATAGAAGAAGTAGAATGTCACCGCGCCAGTTGCACTGACAAAAGGAAGCGAGGAAATGTTGCGGGTAGAAAACGGTATTTTGAGCAAAAATATGCTTCAACGGAAGCGCACAATTGTGCAACTCGGCAATTAGCAATGGCGGCAACAAAGGAAAAGCCGATGCACGAACATCAACGAATACCAAAGCCAAACGAAAGTTAGAAAGTTTTGCATGTGTGACAAAAAGACTACACAAAAATGTTGCGCTTGCAACATGGCAGTTAGAAATTATGGGCTTGTTGTGGCACACTAACGTGCTTAAAATGCGTTGCAGTGGCATTTTGGTGAAGTTTAAGGCATGGTGAGGAGAATAAAAGGCAAGTATGAAGGCAGCCGACAGTTTAGCGGTGCATGCAATTTTGGCACATTTCCATCACGTGCATATGTCGCTGGTGAATTTCTGTTTCTGTTTCTGTTTCTGTTTCTGTTTATTTGCGTTTGTTTTGTTTTCTTTTTGTCTGCCTCACAAGCAGTCACTCACTGTCTGTCACTGCGTTGTTGACAACTAGCAAATATTTTGACGTAAATGGAAAATGATGAAAAGGGTTTGTAGGAATTTATATACATACTTTTTTGTCATAAATAATACAAGTATATCGAACCCTAGCCGCAAAAAAACTGTAAACGAAATTTTATCATAATTCTATTTTTGATGCATTAAAAAGAAAATGTTGTTCCTCTTAATATGAATGCCCTTAAACGCCATCCTTTTTGTGTCTCTGGGGCTAGTCGAGGTGTTCAGTACTACATTAGAGTTTCATTTTATTTGCCTACAGATTAATTTTATTAAGTTTAAATTTATTTGCCCAAATTTTAGATTTATTTACCCAAAGTTTAAATATTTCCAAACGTTTAACTTAATGTGTCAATGATATAGCAGCCTTCTCTGCCAATGGGCACATATCCAATGATATTCCAGGTGGAAGTCTTTGCAATCGTTGTATGTGTTCGCAAATGCCTTTGGGGAAGAGGAAATCTGGCCAGAATAAATATTATTTCGTATAGTCAGGCAGCGTTAAAGCCATAGACGGCATCAATGCTTGGTGGCTGCTGTACAGCTCTTTTGAAACACCTGGTAGCCCACATTAGCGTAACGCTGTGGTGTGTTCTAGGACATGAAGGATTTGAAGACAACGCAAGAGGTGACTGTCTCGCAATGCGTGGAGTCCAAATGCGCTTTAATGGTCCGGAGTCTTTTGTCGACTGGTGAAGGAAACCCGAGAGGCTATTTTATGTGACTGCCCACGTATCATGAATAGCAGACTGATATACCTTGGTGCTTAATTTTTTACTTACCCTAAGGTTGGAGTGAATAAAATTGGGGTTTGGAACAATAGATCTTCTTAAGTCGCAGCGAGACTATTCCTGACGTAATAATAATAATTCTATGTATGTGTAAAGAGACATACATCAGACTTATGTACAGTAAAAATACATTTTTATACGCACTTAATTTGTTTTTATTGTGCTAGCTATGTTTTAGATTTACTAAATACTATGTTATCTATATTTTTAATAAACTTGACATTGAAAAAAATAAAAATAAAAACTCCAAACAATGGTTGGTAGTTTTTGATTGTTCTTGGTAGGAAATTTCGGTAGGAAAAAAAAATTGGCCGTGCCAACACTGTCCAGAATGTAAAATCAAACTATTCGTTCAACATTTCCCTCTGGGAGCTCTAAAAATTCAATTGCACTATTACGCGGAAAAGCATCAAAGCACGTGTCGTTCGAATTATTGCCACTTTTCAATTGCAGCTGGACTCATGTGTGCAGATGTGTGTTGCCGTAGTTGTGGCAGTTGTTGCTGCAATTAATTTTTGTGCACTGTTTGCGCATAGAAACTTGTCAGTCAGTTATAGCTGGCAGTTTAAAAAAACAAACTAGTCTACTTACTTACTTTTACGTTTAGAGTTAGATACCTCTTCACTTCCGATTCACCCTCGCTCATAGCAAATGGACTAAATGCAAAAGTTTAGCATTTCTGCAAAGAAAGTTCTACACACAATGCAATTGCTCGTTAATATTTATATGTATGTATGTATGTATGTGTAAATGCATTTAGCAGTAACTGTGTGTGTGCACCAGTGTACACCATTCGAGCTTGTTTGTTTACTGCCGCGCACTAATAATTCAGAAATTGTGTGCCAAAAAGCCGTTATTATCTGGTGCATTGCCTAACACATAGTACACTGTGCATACACGCACACACAACATCAAGCATTTGTATGTATGTACATATATGTATGTGGATTATATAGGAACAAATTGCAACTTGTAGTGTTGAAGAAAAATGAGGTGCGAAATGCATTGAAAATGCAACACTGGTCAAATACATACATTTGAAGAAATGCATAAGCGAATTTGAGTACAAATGGCTGGGCGGAGGGGTGACTGAGAGCGGGCGTTTGAGTGACAAGCAGGTGGAAAAGTAGGCGATTGCAAGTGGAGATGGAAAATGGTGACGTAGAGCTGCACACACGCATATATTTAAATACACATTTTTTGTTTGTACATAAACATATACATACATATGTATACTACATATATGTACAAATGTGTGTGTATACAGGGCNCATAAACATATACATACATATGTATACTACATATATGTACAAATGTGTGTATACAGGGTATTTTAAGGCAGGTGCATTTCTTTTGTTCTCCTTTTTTCACAAAACCAGTTTTCATGCATTTCGCAGAAAAAACAAAAACAATAAAAACACTCAGCAGTTAAGGGTTGTCAAGCACACTGTGTTAACTGTTTTTGTAATCGCAAATGTTGTTTAGAGAAAATTTTAGTATTTTCAGCCTTCCCCAACTCTTCAACCCATTTTTTTCCAGACCTAAAATCGTGTACGTACTTGACATTGAAATGCAGTTGCATGCAAAAACCTTAACACTTGCAACAAAAAAAAACAACAACAACAACAGCCATATTCATGTGTACACGCGAAAATCTCGCATGAAAGCGCGCGTTTTGCGATCAACAATCGGACGGACAAACGCGTACGTTTGACAAGTGGACAAGCGCGCAGTGTGTCAGCCTTTGCAAAAACCAATGTACGTACATACATATGAATCTATACATATTTTTTACACTTATTTAAGTACATACATATATGTTTGTATGTACATACATTAGGGTGGTCCTTAAAAAAATCAAATTAAGGATTTTTTCCAGTCTCACTCCCTCAATCGGTAGTTCCACGGTCACATATATGTATCACATATAAATTTTAGACTCAAAATATTAAAAATATTTTTTAATATATTTAATACCCAAAATCGATACTGATAAAGTCGAGGATATCACATATAAATTTTGCTCCTGATTGCAGTCGGTTAAGACGTCTTCATAGGGTAATCTGAACCTTGTGCGATACGCCTTAACCGCCTTCAATCGGGACCAAAATTTATAAGTGATATCTTCGACTATAGTAGCATTGTTTAAGGACCACCCTAATGTACATATGCCTATATAAATACTCTTGTATTTGTGTACATTTAGCTACCCCACGTTAGACAAATGCAACTCTGCCATTCGTTTCGTTTTTTTTTTTTTGCTTCATTCAGGCATACTACTACATACATATGTATGTATGTGTGCTTAACGGTTATGCAGGTGCTGAGTACTTGCACTTTGAGTGCTTGCATCGTTGAATTGAAATTGAAAATTGCTCGTGCAATTATTCGCAAACACGCAAGTCCTTTTTAGCCAATTCTATGGGATATTTTTTTGCACATGAATTATGTACTTGGGAAATTGAAATGTTTATAAATTTTTGAAGTGCAAGTACACGGCTGCATATTTGAAATGTTGTGATAGCATATTAAGATATTATATTTATGTGAGTGTGTAAGCGTATATGCGTCAAATTATTTAAATCAGGGATGGGCAGATTTTTGGCTCTTCAAGCAGTCACAGAGACAGCAAGTGCTACACAAGATGTAAGAAATACATTGCAAGTATTAGTAATGGGAGTCGGAGTACAAGAAATTTTAATATGCTCTTCTTCCCCCTTCATGCTGGCTCTTGATGTTACCCCTCATTTAGCACCTAAATGTGCCAAGCCGGCTCCTAAGTGCAAAAGGCTCCTGGGAGCCACTTTACCCATCTCTGATTTAAATCAACAATCTATGCTGTGGGTGCCTTAAATAGGCAGGTTTGTGGGCGTAAGTCTTAATAAATTTTTCACAACTTTCAGTTTTTTGACTCTTCCGAGGGTCAGATGTGATGAAAACAAAAAGCTCAAGTTTTTTGCATAATCTAGCTCTAGCAGCGCTTGTAGTAGTTACACTGCACTTTGACTACACAACGTCAATTGTATTAGTTTCGTATTCCATTTAATCAACCCGATGAATAAACTGAAGTATGTAGATTATTCGTAGGTTTCGTCAAGGCATCCAAAAATATTTTTTCCGATAAAAAAAACCCCAAGAAGCCAAGTCCGACAATAGTTTATTATACACCATTTTAAAGGGCTATATATCCTCTTCTCAGATCATATTCGATCTTTGAAATCGAATCAGAGATAGTCGTTCAAAAACTCATAAATCTACTAAATTGTGTTTTCTGACCTAAATCGAGATGTCGCGACCTCTAAATGACCTTTAAAAAATCTATAAAAATAGGCAATAATATTTCTCATAAAAACGAGTAAAATTAGGGGGTATTGTTTTGAAATTTCCAAAAAAAGAGTTTTCGATGGGCACCCTAATATTCATATGAATATCTGCGCATTTATTTATGATGACCGCAATTCTTTACATAGTTCGTATCTTATTGATATATAGGTATATATCTTCACTCACCTGCAGGAACATATCACCGTCGAGTAGGCCATGCTCAAAGGCGCCCAATTCGCGCGTTCGATAGCCATCGTGTGCGTGTGTGTGTATGTGTGGCAACATGCCATTCTCCTCCTTATCCTTATGCATAACAACTACAACGAAATAATTGATTGATAGAATTGTTGAGATGAGTTAGACGCATGAAATAAAAGCATTTATTTAGTTAATAAGTGATTGAGTCAGCATTCAATAAATAATACGTATAATAAGTAATTCAAAAATTCTTAATATATGGCTTAAATTACTATGTAGACCTTCCCCAGATGTGTAGCTTAAGCTACCAATGACTTTAAAGTCTTCTACGCCCTCCTTTTTGCCGACAGAATGTTCTTTTTTCACCCCTTTTCAGTAACCTAAACTATAAGTTTTTTACCTAAATCATCTTGGGACGCGAACCAGCAAACTAAAAACTCTCCTACGATTTTGTTTGCGGCTTAGACATAAAATCTTCAGCTCAAAGGCGCCTTATTTGTTAAGCCCAAAGCTGGAAACTAGATTATCGGAGAACACTAGCCTGTCGACTGCAGTTTGATTACTCTCGTCGGCGACGGTATCTGGTGTCAATATCGATGGACAAGCAAGGAATGCACTGGTGAATCATTCGGTGATTTTTAACAACATTGACCGACGGCTTTAGACAACGGTTAGAGTACAATGGTGCATCATTGGTATCTGACAACCGTGGCGACAAGGGCGACAAGTGCCAGCTACGCCAGTCTTTCAAGACGAGATCACTGAGTTTCAATACCCGGACCTCCCTCTGCACCCTCTACGTATCTTGAATAATGTGGGTATCAAGCAGCATCACCACTCTTGTGTATTAATTAAGTATATGATATTTGTCATGCCTATAAAAGCACACCGGCCAGTGGACCTCTTCTGCAAAGCGTTCCTTTACCTGACACTAACCACAAATTTTTAGTAGTCGGTAAGGAAGTGCAAATATTAACGAAGTTATGTCGCACGGGAGGCTGCATTCGGATCTAATACAAAAGGTTCCCACGGGGGCAGGAATGCAACATTTCAAAGTCCAAAGCCTTAGCAATAATTCAAACAAATATCTAGCATTCTTGTTTCTCTCCTTACTACATCGGAGGATTGCGTCAGAACCTTCTGATGTGAATTACAGGTAATTTAGTACTCATTTAAAAAGTCTCAATGTAAAGAAGAAAATAATTGGAGAACCTTAATCGTAATTGTCTAAGTACTTATTCAAATCAGCAGCCTGCGTTCCAGTCCTTTCTTGTGTTTGAAGGGAAAGGGTCTGAATAACCTGAAGGCAGATGCGATGCTATTGACCTTTGGTTCCTTCGCAAGAGGGGCTCTATGAATGCTTATAGTTCAGAAAACAATTCCCGAAAAAGCGGCGTGCATCATTCAAAGTATAGCAAGACTAACCTGACAGCTATCTGTGGTATCGAAACACATTCCGTTTTAAGAAATAGCTATAGCTGGCTGTAATGATATTTGAAGCTGTGCAGATAAGATAAAGATAAAATCCGAATATCACTTGTACTCAAAAATTTAACTTGCCAAGAGTAGGCACTAGACCAAATAGAACAACAATTTGAATGTCTAGACCCAGCCTTGTTTCAAAACCTTCACTGGTAAGAAATAAGTAAAGGGGTAGTATTGCGAAAACCTTGCTACGCATCACTCAGAGGCTCTGAAGGTCGTCAATCAAACTGACGATTTAAATGCGAAAAGCTGATGTAACTAACTTTTTTCCGGGCATATGCAAAGGAATATAAAGCTTTTAACGATAGCGTAACAAATTTTACTATGGAAACAAACAAAAGTGGAATAAAGTGGGGGTAACGTACTACGCCCTTCCTAGTGGCTTATAAAAAAGTTTGCCGCACTAACGCAAGTATGTAAGCAAGCAAATGTATGTACATAAGTGTTTCACCCAAAAAAATAAAATAAACGGAAACGCAAATGGAAATTTTATGTTTGTTATAAAAAAAAAGTAAAATTTTTATGGTGCCAATTGTAACAAATATTTTTTAATAATTTATTTCTTACGAAAATACGATTGCCCCAGAGGGTGGGTTGCGAAGCGTTGTTTTTAGTTTTATTAGTTGAGTATTCTTCTTCTTTTTTACCTACATTTTTTCTTTTTGTTTTTGTGTTGCGTTGTAATAAATATTTTCACTGCATTATGACATTTGATTAAATTGTCGCGCCAAATTCTTTTAGCACTGCTGGTAGTACTATAAAAAAATATAAGAAAAAAAAAACACCCACCACAATTTGTAAATTTCTTTTAGGCTAAAATTTATTATAGCTAAAAACTTTTTTGGGCCAAAATAAGTTGAGAATGTTGTGGTAACTGAGTGGCAGGGGATGTGAATATAAAATACATTGCCTGCGACATTTATAATAAATTTGTCACAAAAATTGATTTATATGCCGATCGAGCGATAAAGCAACTAAAAACGAAGAAGTAAAAGTATACTCGGAATAAAAAATACAGTTAGGGTAGGGGTGAAAAAAAAACAAAATGAAATGAAGTTTGGTCACGTTGAAGCTAGTAGTATGAAAAGGCCTGATTAGAGCTTGAAGAGAGTCAAGAGGGTGAAAAAGGCATGTGGGTGCTAAGAAAGAGGTGAGTAGAAATGGAATCCAAATATGAAAGTAGAAAGAACTTGAAGTAAGAAACGAAACAAAACATACATATGTACTGTTGAGAAAAGAAACTCAGAAATTTGGCAAAATTTTATATTTACAAAAAATACTCGTACTACTTACAAATAAATAATATTGATTAAGTGGCCATAAAATGAAGAGTCTTAAAAGGCAGTCAAAAGGGAGCACATTTTTATGGTTATAGAGGCTACTTTCGAAGGAAGCGGAAAAACCTGCCTAAATTTGGTGTTAATTACTGGTGTAGATTCTTAATGGAGGAAAATGGCGAAGTGTTTTTTTTTTTTTAGAGAATAACCGGGTGATTCTAGCGAAAGATATTAAAAAGTCTTTCGTAAGACAAATGAAAGACAGATGGCAAGATAGTTTGGAAGACGTTTATTATTCTAGCTCAAAAGTCTTGGAAGAAAAGCTCTCTCTGTGATGACTTCTTGTATTTATTGAAAACTTTGTCTTCTTACTTTTACTTTTTTTTTTTATGTGTCTTCTTCGAATTTATTGAAGATCCATAATCATATTGTTAAATATAATACTGTCGGCAAGGCGACCACCGTTGCCGCGTAGGTAGAACTGTAAATTGCCATAAAGTAGGCCTCGGGTTCAAGGACAGCTCAGCACAGTATATTTTTTTATTTTCATTTTATATTTTTAGCTTTTTCTATTTTTAGATTTTAGGTAACCTAATAAAAATCGAAAGAATTCCTTCTTGATTTCATTAAAAAGATAATCCCATTTAAAACCAAAAGGCTTTCCTCTTAAGGAAAAATTATAGAGATATCTTCTAACTTTTGTCCTATGTTTTGTGGTGGTTTAGTGCAGCGGAATTTTCTTATTATTTTCTTTTTTAAATAAGTACAGTTTTCAGATTTTTTTATTTTCATAAATGGGGAAATATATATTTTTTAAGTTAATATCATTTTTAGAAACTATTTTAATGTATATATTTTATATTTTAATTTTGGTTTGATTGTTTTTTTTTTTAAGAATATTTTTTTTAATTTCCTTTAAGTTGAAGAACTTATTTTTTCTCATTTTTAAATGTGTTTTTTAGTATTTTAGCTTAATTTTTTTGAATTCTTAGAATCTACTGCGTAAAAAAAGAAAAATATTTTGTTTAAATTTCATTTACTTTTTAAAAATTTCTTTGATTAATTTCGTCTTTTTTATTTGAATTTGTTACTTTAATTTTTAGATTTTGTTGTTTAAAAAATGAAAATGTTTTTTTATTTCATTTAATTTTCAGGATCTTACTAAATTTTTTTAATTGTTTTTTTTTTTAATTGTTTTTTTTTTTATAAAAATATTTTAAGTATAATTTAATTGCCATGTAAGATTATGATTATGGTTATGATTTTGATTTTTATTTTGATTTTGATTATAATTATGATTACTCTTATGATTATGAATATGATCATGTTTACTATAAGGACTGAGATTAATATAACGATTGCGATTAAGATTTCAGATTTTTTTTTTTTTTTTTTGCTGCTGCCGATTTTTCCATTGTGTGTAATTATTTGCTTATGATGTAGGGTATTTCTGCCTTTTTCTTTTCACCACATTTTCTCGTCTCATATTTCAAGTCTTGTTTGCTATAAATTGTAACCGCTTATCACTCAATCACCATAAAGGAAAAATGTCATAATTCTTTGAAGTAATTTAATTTTGTAGGAATGAATATGTATTATATGTTTACGAGTATAAAGTTCTAACATTTTACGCATGAGAGATTGTGAGTAGCAACAACAGCAACAAAGTGTGAGATGCTTATGGGACTAAAAGAAACTCTATCGCATTTTAGTATCCCTGCAGGGAAACCCCGAGCTAGCGAACCAAATTTCTAAACAGTAAGATAGTAACTAGATTCCCACTAGTTCAAAAGCAGCAAGTTTTGGTACTTTTAAAAACCTGCTTTATTTTACTTCTTACAACTACATATCGCTAGTTAAGAGTCAAAGCTTGCTGCTAAGTCCACTTTTTCTAAAAAATAATATTTTTTCGCAGGAAGCAAGAAAAACTTTAAATGAATTCCACCAACACTTTTAAGAGTAGTAACACCCTGATATGTATACGAATAATACAACCATAAAAAGTATGCCCTTTAAAGAGGTTCAAGCGCATTTGTAGTTCTTCAGTAGGTTCTTCGCGCACTTCTACTATTTCTCAAGTTATAAATGGCTTCCAACTGGAGTCCATTACATCTGGCTAATCAACGTTTGTATACAAATTCCTACTTTTATTGCCGCCAAAAATCCTGCTGCAGATTACCCCTTGAATTATGAATTCATCTCACACCCTTCGAAAGCATTATTCAAATAAAATGATTTACACTTGAAATCACAATGAGCTTAGCAACCATGAAGGATTTTCATAAATTCCACACTCCTTGAGCAATAAGTAAAACATATCTTTACATCAATAAAAAAAAAAAAAACCAAATAAAACG